AAAGAAGACAGGGCTGACTGAGGGGTTCGAAATTACCTGAGTTTGTGTAACTGAAAATACAGATTTCTCAGTTTTCCCATACAATTGTAAATGTGGGTGGACCAATGAAGACTGCCGTCGATCGTGACACCTGGTACCTGACTGAGGTAATTCTGGATACAGGTTTACAGTTAAGGGCAGCAGAGTCCATTGTAAATGAGGAGCGGGAAAGACTGAAAATACACTCTACGCACTTAGCTGTGTTAAGACAGAGACCAGATTGATCAGGAAACTGTTGGATGTGGAATAGATTTCCAGTGAAAGAATGATATTCTCAAGGAGATAAAAGTGTCTGACATAAAACGACTTCATCGGCATACTTTTGGATGTGTGCAGGGGGTGGGACCAAAAGAAAGCAGAAAAAGAACCATACATTGAAGAACACCAGAATTAATAACAAGTGATTTTGATGTCTTCCTTCCTAATTTGATGCACCGAACCCTCTCTTTCAAATAATCAGAAAGTCATGAGAGCAGCTGTCTTGGAGTGTCACGTTTTCAAAAGAAGGGATTATCTAGAAAGAGAATCGATTGCGACGAATAATCATGAAAAACACGACGAACAGGAGTGGTTGAATTCTTCAATGACTTACTGATAAGCTGGATTAGAGTGGCTACGGCATCCAATGTAGATCTGTTGGGTTGTAATGCAAACTGGAGGGCTTAAACGGGATTGTGGTAATGGACTTCAAGCGACTCAGAACGACCTTTTAGGGCTGTTAAGGTCAGCGCGATAAGACTAAACGGTTTTGCAAGAACAGTTGAGGACGAGGATTTTGCTATTAAATAATGGTAGCTTGGTGCCAGGAATCAGGAATCCACGGGGCTCGTGAGCGGCGTTGTTTAATTTTTTCATTTTTTTTTTATTATACTCATTTCTGTGACGAACAGCAGTTGGGATGAATCATCATCGTACAGCGAGATACAGTGAAGCGAGCTTCACTGATCGCTTCCAACGGTTGGGATGAATCCCATGGTCACGGAGACCTGCTCCTCCGTCGTGAAAACCGTTAACCTAAACCTAGGGGTTTGAGGTGGCGAATCACATAAGGCCTCGATAGGTCAAGTGTCCCTATCCGCCACGAGTCCCGTTTGATCAGTAATAGTCGTTGTCTGCCGTATCCGTGGACGATGGGAATAATGTAGAAATGAGACGAAAGGGAGAGGAGTTGCGCACCGAACGATTTTCCCCATTCTACCCTCTAACTAATTAGTTCAACATTGATGAACCAGGCACCGAGCCGAGAACAGTGGTTTTCGTTTTTTGCTATCTCATATCAAATGGGAATGCCTGAAACGGTGCAGTTCACTCGGCGTCATCATCATCACCCGATCGACGTCCCCATCTAACCAGTCCATGAAGTTTCACTGGCGCCTTTGTGTGGAATCCGATACTACTACTGTTAATGGTCTTGCTGATGTTAGAGTGATTCTTAGTCAGACATCTCAGAAGCGTTCGTACTAGGTTTGATACTGCGTTGTGCGTAGTGAAAGCTTCGTGCAAAATAGTCAGTCATTACCCCAACTGATTCAACTTCCTTTTGTCATCTCCACGTAGCTACGCATCCTGTTACGTAATGCCAGTGTTACTGGTATTGTGGTTTTAGCAGTCGATTTGATTACTAGGGTTGGTCGGCTATCATACGATAAACATTTGGGATAGGTGATGTGGTCTCTTCTGGGCTAGTTTTCTGTCCCCCCCCCCGAAACCCGCAGAATGCGTGTTGGTTCCATGTTCTAACTAAGGGTTATTCCTCGAAAATACGAACCTCAGACATTGCCAATCCCCGTCTGTACGTCACTGGTGATCTAACACATCACTATCAGCCACTGTTGTCGCGGTCACATAGAAGACTGCTGATCGTATAGGAGCACTCACGGCCCCCTCCCACCCTAGAATCGGACCAGGAACTAGTTTAAACTAAGCGGTCCTTGTGCCCAAATCCTTGCTTTGCATTTCTGATTGTTGTCCTGGTGGGACGAAACAACTCATAGAGACTGTACCGCGATTTGTTTGGCACACAGTTTGGACTGTGGAAGTTCTGTAAATAGTGACTTTTGTGTTCAGTACGGTATGTTCTAGAATGACNTAGAATGACTTCAAGTTATCAGGGTCAGGATTGTGGCTCGAGTGGTGACCTGATCAGAATACGGTATTTTCCAGCCAGGTGCTCTCGTTGAACACAGCTCAAAGGTCTTCGTTTAAGGGGACAATCTTTAGTGAAGGAATTAGTATATTACAGACCAAATGGTACCGGCTAATTCGGCTCCGGAAATCTGATTGACTAGTATTTGTTGTTCTCTAAATTCTTTATATGCTTTTTTCGTTTTCTAGCAGCAATTTTCAACTGCATAAGATGTCGTGGTAAAACTTTGACACTCAATTAATTTTAGTATGTTATATTGGACACAATTTGTGCAACCAGCAATGTCTACATTTCATTACAAATATGTTCACCGTTCTAATTAGATTTTTTTTAAATGAGGAAAGGTTATGTACGACAATGATAAGACTATAATGGGCGATCATCTTTGTAGGTTTAAAATTAGTTTGTTTCGGATCTTCTTCTTGTCAGTCAGAATACGAGTCAGGTAGGGTACTGTTGAATTGCGATAAATGTTTATCTTGGAAGGGTAATCAGCGATCGGGTTGTAGTGTGAGAACGGCTAGCAGATAGAACAGGAACGAGCGGATGACTGGAATCCTGCACTATCTTATGGATGAAATTCTTACATGAAGTGATATGAAAATCACACAAAAATTAGTGATTAGAGTGCTTAAAGGAATGAGAGAAACACGGTTGGTAATTACCCCCCGCGACGAAGAGTGGTAAAATCACTGTTAGGTAGTCTAACGAAAATAACGAGTGCGCAATAACAGGAGTATTGATAGAGAAAGAAGTTTCAGTTGCATGCTTTATCCTACATTGTCGTATCTTGTGCATCTAGAAAATACATGCGACGCTGTCTATCAGCACAGACTAGCACATAAGAGCACTACTGTATGTTGTCCAACAAATCCGTTTTGTGTGCGTTTGTGTTGCACGCGATCAGATCAGCGAGGTCACCTGATTTGCTAAGCAGCGAGCGAATGTTGTAACTGACCAACGGGTGAACAGTAGTCATCTTCGCAGGTCTGTGTGTGTGTGTGTATGTGTAAGAGCGATCCACCACTCGGCGCGCTTGCAATTCTTGCTCCAACCAAAAATATCCAGTTCGGATAGAACTGTGTGAGTTGAATGACACCAGAGTAATGATTATCCCCTAATCATATTAATAGTTCCCCGGGCTACAAAATTCGAGAACATAGTGGAAACCAAGAAATAAATTCTAATGCGAGAGTGAACACCAACGTAGCGTGGCCAGTCGAAGTTGAAGTTCGGATGATTGTATACTAGTAGAAAAACAGAACACACAGATGCGGGAATCCAAATGATAGGAACAATGATAAGAGACGCTGAAGCTTCCGTCCAGCAATAGGCTAGTGACTGCAAATCGGATGTTTGTGAAAAGGCTGTCTGTCAGTGAAGCGAACTACGTGATAGCGAAATTGTCCCCGAAATGCAGAAAACCTTAGGAGGAATTGTGGACCACCTATGATGTACTCTTAGTAGCAAGGAGTGATTGTGAAGCAATTCGGTCGTTGCCACGCCACTGTCTGAACAGTGTGAACTGTTTTCTTCGGTTCTATGCGTATCAAGTCTGGCAACAGTTCCTGATCGTGTTGGTGACCTTGTTTTGTTTAAAGGTCAAATCCGTTATCCGAAGAAGCAAACATTCCTCACTATTAAAATTAGGATTCCTAATTCTCAAACGCTGGTCGGAGACATCGCGAATGTCTCGAACATTTGATCGAATTCCCCAGTGGCTTTCGTCTGAATATGTGGATGTGAAGTTCTGGCCTGATAGACCGCTTTTATTCCAGGCTACCGAACGTAAATAAGTATTCCATACAGAAATGGCAGAAAACGCTGGATGAACCCTGTACTGGATCAAGGTGGTCGCCCACGTAATCATGCTTCACGAATTAGCACGGAAAGACCCGTGGCGTTTTCGGTCGTTTTGTAAAAAAATTCAGAAACATGTTTGTTGGGTATGAATCGGTAGATTTTTCAAAGAATATGTTCCTTGAACAAGATGAGGTCTTCTTTTTTTCGGGAGAGGGAACATCGGATCCACTAAATGAAGATTTCTATTTGTATGGCTTTTGCAAACTGAAATAGGCTTGCATTTCAGTTAACACAGTTATACACTGGTCGTCACACCGGAGAAAATATAGAAATATGGTCAAATCCAATCGAGTGCTGTGTAAAACAAAATTTCTCTAAAGTTTGATTTATTTAAGTACGGATTGATGTAACTTATTTAGAACTCGTTCCTTGTTGGTCAAGATTCGAGCCAGATGTGGTGGTATAGGGAAGTTCTTACAAATGTTTATTCGCGAGGATAGATACCAATAGATGGAACGAGTGATTCAGTGGGAGCGACAAGAAGATAAGTCAAGTTGCAAAGGATGGGAGGGGTCGTTTAAAATCTTATTGGCAAAGATCACACACGAATTCATATGAACATTATCAAGTTCTTGGCAGAAATTAAAGAAGCACGGCTTATTATCATCAATTCACGACGGATAGTTTTAAAGTCTTGTTTCAATAGACCGGGAACCACTACAGTGGAGCAATAAATTAAAACAGGGACAGCGCATTCATTGATAAACGAGGATAAAAGTTCCTGGAGAGCTCGAGCTTTCGAAGCTGAATGAAGATTTCAGTAGCTGAGTTATTCATAATGGACGAAGTTATGCTCATCTAATGCACCAGTACTAATCTAATGAACAAGGTGTTTTAATCTATGCATGTAATTATTCCACGTTAACGGACGACTTTCTGCCACGCTATTGTTTGACAGAAATATCTCTGTATTAGAAATATCAAATGTTAGCAGTATCTCGTTTTAACCAGTATGATTCTGATTACTCCTCGGAACTTCCTCGTGAAGGAAATTGTGAAAAATGTGTTTGTGCTCATTTTAGACTTCCATCGACGTATCCGAAAATGAGTCCCACGCGAAGTCCTCATCTTCCAATGCAGGATTTGCCGGAAATGTGTTTTTCGGCCCGGATTTTCCACAAACCATTTCTGACCTTGATCAACCATTGGCACCATCGAAAAACATGAATTCTTCAACTGGTCACTTACGTTCCACCACACGCGGTTTGGTCACTGTGCAGTTCCGTCTGCACGCACCGCATTCGGCCTCCAGCAGTTCTTCGTGTCTATCCACACCAAACAGTTCTGTGCTGTTCCACTCCCCACATTCACGCATGACACCGATAGCCCCGAAATCTCCCGCACTATCACAGACCACATTTTTGCCTACACCTGTCGTAGATCCGACTCTGATGATGGCTAGCCGATTCACTCCGTCCAAGTCGGTGGTTGAAATGCGGCGAAAGTTGGTGCTCGATCTGTTCAAACAACACGGTCTTTTCCCCTCGAGTGAGTAGTGAACAATCTTTTCCCGGTTTTAAACTGCATTGGATACACGGTGGAATGTGATTTGTCTAATATTTGTCAATCTTGGATTGTGTTTTTGTTATAAGGGACAGCGAGCGTAAACATATATTGGCGAAAAATACTTACCGCAGTTTTCTTCGATCACATTAGCATATGCATTCAAACAGCTCGCTATATTACTCAGTCAATTTATGTGATGAAATCGTGATCATTTCCGACTCATCCGAATCGGTGTTCCATCAACACAAACTATTCCGATAATTGTACTATTCGATCAGTTCAGTGTTAACAACCATTAACCATGCACTTTCGTGCGTCGGTTTTGGTTGCTGTCTTTTGGTGCCCCATTTGGATAAAAGATTGGAATGTTGAAAGCAAATTCAAGCAGAAGGTGGAGGATTCATATAGAGTGGTGTGATGAGAATGATAAATGGATGCACGAGTGCCACTGTTTGCTACACCCAGTCATATCGATCAGGGTCTCCAACCATCGGTGACAATGATCTCGGGGTCCCCATCCAGGGAGCCGAACGGAACCTATGTGTGCCAAACTCCTGGTTAGGGTCAGGTCTTAGTTTGACCCCCTTGATCTTTTTCCAATCGCTACCTACCTTGGCAATCGTCGCTCGCCGTGGCAACCTATTTGATGACATGCATGAAACATGCTCTAACCAATGTAATCTATGCAGGTCGATCACTTGTTCTAGTGGACGACCCCGACTACCCAAAACTCTATGCCTAACCTCAGCATTGCTCTTCCGGATACCCCACCAGACTCGCGCAATGCGATGTAGACAGTTAAGGTATAGCTGCCCAGATTGCAAAAACTTGTCCACTTCTTCTACTACTCCTTCAGCCAGGGCGAGACGGGGTACTGGATCAATCCAATCTTGGAAAAACGACTACTTTGCGATTATTTGGTATCGTGTCAATCGATAGTACCGCTTTACACTGTCGTTCCAGTCTTCCGTCATTGACCAGCAACGACCGAGGATGTCACACGTGGGTCATGTGAATTTCGCTTGTTCTCTCAGAGCTCATTTCTAATAGCATCATAGCCTCCCGTGGCTCAACCAATCTGTTGCCTCGTACGGTATCCGTCACACACACACACAACAGGTGGGACAGCTTCAGTAAATCACGTGATCAGGTTGCTTTGATTGGTCACAGCAAGCTAGGATAGGCTTCTACACGGACCGTCACTGATTTGTTCTCACGTGACCTACCGTTGTACCCACATCCTTGATTGCAATCAGACACGTAGGTTGCCAAGGGCTGGTTAGTAGACCGTGTTTGGTTTCTCGAAGAGAGAGACCAGACCAGCTTGATGATTGATTACGAACACTAGAGTATATGTTTGTGCCTTAAACAGTAATATGCCTGCCTTGGCCTGGGCAACCTGACAGTATTCCGCCCACATGCAAATCATGGAACATTTTTCTTTTTTTGTTTAGCACACAGTCTGGATTCATGCGTGTGTGGTAATATAAACAGCAATACCGCGTAGCTGCATTCTATATCTTGATCATGCTCTCAGCGTTTACGTCTTCAACAGAAAGACACCTGGCGATGATATAAACTAAACGCATTGCTTAGTTAATTGTTTCTCTGTTGATATTCACTCATTGGTCAGTTCACGTGACTGCTCATTAGTTGAATGTCTCCGTTTTTGCATTCTGCCCACTTATCATCGATTCGACACTTTTTATTCGTTCATTTTTCACCCACAACTTTATTGCCAACGCCACATTACCGGACTTGTTCGATGTGTTTTTTTCTTATCCACAGTGTACTGGTGCCGATAAGCCGATCGACGTTTATATACCAAGCAACTAGGTGATTCTACTCGAACTGCACTAAGCCATCGCGACGAAACTGTACCTTGCTGTGGTGTGATGGCTGGTGCATCTCTCTGACCCAACGAGCTACACAGAATGGCTTTTGTCAAACCAGAAGATCTTATCATGCCTGGAAAGCTAATTGGTAGAGGTCAGATGAAGTACAGTCTCCTGGTCGGGGGTTTGACTTTAATTTACGTTACAGTCGGTAAAAAAATGGTGGAAGAATAATTGATTCAAGTAAATGGGCCTCTACTTCGCTTCACGCGCTGCCTTGCAGTA